CTGGTAAAATCATAAAAGAACTGTATAATAAAACCGACGAATTCCTTTTCAAGGTTATGAAACATTATCATAAAAACCTCAATAGCTCCAACACTACAAACAGCTCAGTCATTTGTACAGAAACATTGAGAATAGCTAACTCCTGTACAGGGTTGAAAGTTTTTACTTCCAAATTAAAAGATATGATAACCAACCTACGTGACATTGAATATGAGATGAATTTCATTTTTCCTAATATATCAAAGTGTATATAGAAATAAATTTATTAGTTATAAATATACATTAAGTGAAGACTATAAGCTTATTAGAAAATGGGTCAATGATTTAGTATCCGGCATGAATAAATTAGGAACACTTCTGTTTGTTGTTGTACATATCTTTAGCTTATGGCAACGAAGCAGAATTTATTCTCTTCTCGCAGTTTCATTTACATTCCTGTCATCCTACTATATATAATTCCGCTAAGTATGTCTGTGTGTGTGTGTCCGTGCGCCTGTGTGTCACGAAATTCATAACGCCGGTCACAGCTGCAGAGAGGCTTTGGTTTCAGGCATGGGAGGAGATTATTGTTGGGTGATAGAAAGTGATATCTACTGATAAGATCTGATACGGGGCGTCAGAAGGGGACGGTCACCATATTCATAACACGGGTGACAGCATTAGTTGGCTGTTGATTCTCAGATATGATATAGGGTATGGAAGGGGAAGATTATTGGTGGGTGATAGGAAGTGATATCTACTGATAAGATTCGATAAGGGTCGTTAGAAGGGAATGCTGCTCACCCCGATACGCTACACAATTCATAACGCTGATGGAAGCATCAGTTAGGTATTAATTCCAAGAGATGATATAGGGTATGGGACATGATTATCATTGGTGGGTGACACGAAGTGTCAGCACCTGATAAGATTCGATAACAGCCATTAGAAAGTTATGGTCACTGGGTGTTCACATCGCAGATCACAGCGTCAGTGAGGCGTTGGTTCTAGCAGGTGATATAGAAGGGGAGATATGTGGACATCAGCCGTGGGTGGCTGGAAGAGATCATTGCCGGTAGGGGCTGATAAGGAAAGTTGCAGTCGTCGTCGTCGCTGTTCAAGGTAGTTCCCGCTACCAAAAACATTGAGATTTAAGTGATTCTGAGACATGATGACTCGGGGTGACAGCTAATCTTAATCAATCGATAAAAAACCGATATAAGATTATTATACGGGATTCATCGCGGTACACATTTCGATCACTTTTCAAGACCGCTATATATGCGAGTATTAGAGAGGCTCAGTGGGTGAACTCATTTCTTCGATGTGAACGAATAATGGTCACCGAGGTGTTTGCTACTGGATAACTGAAAATGTTGTCGAGCGGGGGGGGTATATAGCGCGGCCTTGAGGCTCAGTGGGTGAACTCATTTCTTCGATGTCAACGAATAATGGTCAGCGAGGTGTTTGCTACTAGATACTTGAAATGCTGTCGAGCGGGGGGGGGGGAGGGTATATAGCGCGGCTGAAACGGGAAAATCGAGAAAATCATCAATCGAAACAGAATTCTCGCGTAGGAGCGGTCAGTCAATTCAAGCGTGTGTATAAGCGAAGGAGTCAACAATTGGGAATGTGACTGCTGTCGGCTGTTATAATCCGAACTGTCCGACCAGCCCTCAGCACCCTCTTCTTTTTAGCAATGCTAAGCGTTCTCCTTCTCACTTGCGCAATGAACCTGAAACTTGGATTGAACTTGACATATCATCAGATTTATAATTATTGTGTCTTCCATATAGGGATCGTGTCCGAAAGAAAGGAGGGGGAGTTTGTTGTTCGGTGAGTACTTGTCTCAATTGTATGAAATTGGAGTTGAACACAGTGATTGCCCCAGATGTACTCTGTTGTGATATTCTTATAAATAATATCGTTTCTCCTCTGAGGATTATTTCGGTCTATCGCCCTCCAAATGCCTCGGCACCTGATGACTCTGCATTGATCGATCTTTTGTTGGATCTAAACTCTGTCCATAACCATGCCATCCTTCTTGGTAACTTCAAACTCAGGATTGAATGGGACGTCGTCAAACCCATGAATAACACCTCTGCGCTATTCCTTGAATTTTTCAATAACTGCAACTCCACGCATTGCTTGTCGAAACTCACACATGGCACCAACATCCTCGACATCATGCTATGCTCATCGCCGATTGTCAATAATGTAAATATATTATCTCCGCTATCTTTCTCTGACCATGGAATAATCTCTTTTGAAATTTTGAAAAATGGCAGCACCACTGATATCCCGCTAGGTTCATCTTTACCTCTACCAGATTTCAGCAAGGTAGATTACACCGCTTTGGACGCTTATCTTCTAAATGTAGATTGGCTCACTGTTTTCGACAAATTCAATTCGGCAAGTGATGTCTACAAGAGATTTTGCAAACAATTATACAAGACTTTTTCTCAGTTTATTACTTTCAAAACTCGAGATGTATATAAATCAAGATATCCTATGCATATAGAAAACTTGATGGCTCAAAAAAATCTATTCCGCTTCCTTTAATATCCTCTGGAAGATAATCGCTATAGAAAGGTGTGTTACGACCTTGACGGTCATATGAAGAAGTTTTTGGCTAATCGCGAGCGTCGTCTGATAAGAGAATCAAATCTCAAACTGCTTTTCCGTTATATTGGACGGAAAACAAAATCTAACAGAGGTCTACCTGTTTTGTTGGTTCAATCGGGCAACAATTGCACATCAGACCCACAGAAAGCTAAAGCGCTAGGAGAGTATTTTGCATCTGTTTTCGTTGACATTGGCTTATTACCAAACATGGTGGATGCGAAAGCAGTCCATCAATATACACATACAATATACATACGCTTTCGGAGATCTTCTCCCACCCAGAAGAGGTTTGGACAACGCTGAAGTCTCGAACCGTCTTTTTCTAACATATATGATGGGATTCCACAAATTATTACAAAAAATTGCACAGTCATTGCATCAGAGTTCAAGATAACTATACTAGACTAACTAACTAAATTCATGAGATATTCAATATAACTTCTGATGTTTCTGCGGTATCTCATCGGCAGCAGCATTAAGGCCTCTTTGATGCGATCATCTGGGAGAGAAGCTAAAGGTCACAGCTATCAACCCGAAAATTTCTAACTCAGCGACAGTTTCCCCGAATTTCCGGGCAGTTGAGCATGGTAACACGAGAGCTGCCAGAGTAAGATAATGGCGAGAAGGGATCATCCAGAGACCAAGCTTCTTGTGCTTGGATGGAGGAAATGTAGTGTGATCCGAGAGATGAGTGCGAACCAGTCTTCCTCGCCATGGTGCTTCCACGGTATCTAAATTAATAAATACGATAATGCTTGACCTGAACAAATCTGCAGCTGAAGTTATTGGTAAACATCAACGGACCTCATTTCGATCGGACCGCTGTTCTAACAGTCGAATCTGATCTAGGGTATGACGAGTAGAAGAGTGTCCTAATTTCGAGCTAGCTGGCCCAACTGCACCGTCTGAGTAGTTTTCCGGGCCGGAGCTTCACGCTCGATTGGCCTGAAATCTTTATTTGTGTGAAAGGCATATGACCGTCAAAGTATCGCTCGAGCGAGTTTCCTCTGATAATGAAGGCATCATCTCGTACGAAGTTGTGTCCCTCCGAGGGAGCGTTTGCCACCCTATTGAGCTAGATTCTCAGTATAGACACGTGAGAATCTCTTACCTGCTTGCGTGTGTCAACCGTTCTTCCCGGCACGACATATGAACATAAATATGTATGACCGACCGACAATTAAATACTAGACGCGACAATACGAATATCTTCGAACACAATGCAAAGTATATCAATGCGTTTATGCTATCTGCTTAAGAGAATGTCGGAAGTAAGACAACTGTGTGGGGATATCAATGGCAACTCCATGTGAGTAAAATCTTCCTTGATTGAGCTGGGAAGAAGGGATCTTTACGTTCGACACTATGCAACTTATGTGGCTTCACAGCTGGAGAGCTGCAGTTTAGTACTGCATGCAAGAACAGTCTTTGCGATGTACACATTGAGATATTTGGCGAGGTCGCAAGCACTCTAATGTGCAGAGAGCCTGACTACAAGACTATGCACTCCGAGATGACCAGAAACTACACTTGTGAAAAAAACATTTACGGCACTTTTTATACTATTCCGTGGCACTCAATTCAAAGAAACCAAAACATTAGTTCGCTTATATAATGCATATGTTCTGCCTCACCTAACCTACTGCTCTCAAGTGTGGAATCCTAATCTGAAGAGAGAAGCATCCAAGCTCTAAAAGGTACAACAACCTTTACTAGATTAGTGTATCTCAGAGTATTCCCAAAGACTAAACCGCAAGATATACCGAGCTATGAAGAAGCTCGGTATATCTTGCGGTTTAGTCTTTGGGAATAGGAGAAGAGTTTAAACTGGTTAGGATTGATGACCCTTAAAGAGAGGAGGTTGGTCAATGACCTCACTCTATGTTTTCGCATACTGGAAAGGGAGACAAGGCTTAAGCCAAGCATGTGTTGGGTCTTTAGACCCTGTAGTGAAAGAAACTCGAGTTTTGGCTTACATTACGCGAAAATTCATAGGAAATTCTTTCTCTTATGTTTAACTCATACTTTTGTCGCATGGCTCGACGCTAGAGAAGCTCCCACTTGAGCTGCTTCGTTCCAAAAATGGTAAAGTACTAAAGAAAAAGTTAAAAAAAATCCGTATTGAGAATTTCTTGAGTTTCGGGGTTTAAAATGATGCATTCATTTAGCCACACTGAGTCCGTCTTCACGGTTTACCGCGCATGAGTCTAATGGGGAACCACCAAGTATTCCTTCGTCCATAAATGCATTAATGAGTAACGTGCTTCGCATGATATGTCCCAAAAAAGATCAACAAGGACCGACATGGAGAAATAGGAAACAAGCCCTTAAATCGTTAAACAGGATCATGGTAAACTACAAATGGGCCTCCAATTATATTTGTACTAATGAGTGTTGGTTCCGGAATCTGTGAGTGCGCGAATTGTTTCTCAACTCGCTTTCATTGACACGAATATCGCCGATCATCGTACCGTTACATGATAATCTCCATTATCTAACCTAACAGAAATTCAGCGCAATAGTAACGCATTAATGCCATACTACAATTTATCTTAGCTTATATAAGCTCCAACGTTACTGTGTGGCAAACTCCAACGTTACTATGATTTCTTTTCACAAAAAGTACTTTGGATCACCTTTTCTCAGTTGCCATTTGCAACTTCTGCTAAAAATTGGCATCTATATTTCAAATCACCAGATATTCGACTATGGCGACTTTGCTTTATTGTTACTCATTCTGATGCTATCGTGGCCGGGAAGCATCTGTTTGGACCACTCAAATTACGACCACCGCCTCGTCACCATCCGATCGCTTCGTGCGGTTGCACATTTGACTAACACTGACCCGGTGAATCGAGGTGTAAGTGGAACAGCGAGTTCTCCTTTGGGTTCATCCTTGATGTGGAACCCTACTACACTAAATCCATAGTATTGTATGATATCTGGTGTTCAATTTAACTATGATTTATTTCTAAATTTTTTTTCTTTGCAGGGAAAATGTGACAAAATAATGAATAAAATACCTACTAACTACTTCAGTATGGCATCCAATGTGCTCCAGGCAGTTTGACCTTAGCACAAAATCAAAGTCAACTAACAGTATCATCCCAAATTGCCTTCCTACTATTGTTTCATTGTTACTGAATGCGTCAAGCCCATCTGTAGCTTCCACCATGGTCCTTTCACGGTGTTCTCTTTTAATAGTTTTTATGGCACACCTTGAGTGTATGGAAATAAATAAATAAATAAATAAATATAGGATTGTTCCCTGCACTTCACACTATCTCTCCGAAGCCCTGATAGTAAGGCTGCGTTTATACTTTGCGGCAGCGTAGCGTAGCGTAGCGTAGCGCAGCGTAGCGTAGCGCTTCCAGCGTACGCCAGCGGCAGTGCCGAAGAGAGGATGCATATCGATCTAGCTTCACCAGCGTCACCAGCGGCACGCTGGCGTACGCTAGCGGCACGCTAGCGTACGCCAGCGTTTCTCCAGCGTTTCACCAGCGTTTTGCTAGCGTTTGCAGCGGCAGGGAGTAGAGACTATGGGAGAGCTGGAGGGTACAAAACACATCGATTGCGCGTCTCTCACTCGCCCTTAGTCTCTACAATGCACATCGCTTCTGCGTCTCCGACGGCCACATAGTCTCTACAATGCACATCGCTTCTGCGTCTCCGACGGCCACATAGTCTCTACAATACACGTCGATTCCGCGTCTCTGCCGGCCACATGGTCTCTACAATACACGTCGATTCCGCGTCTCTCACGGCCACATAGTCTCTACTCCCTGCCGCTGCAAGCGCTAGCAAAACGCTGGTGCCGCTGGAGAAACGCTCGAGAAACGCTGGTGAAGCTAGATCGATAGCTATGCTTCCCGTGCCCTCGCTACGCCAGCGTGCGCTAGCGTGCCGCTGGCGTACGCTAGCGTACGCCAGCGTGCCGCTGGTGGACGCTGGTGAAGCTAGATCGATACTGCCCAATCCTTTCTTCGCACTGCCGCTGGCGTACGCTAGCGTACGCCAGCGTGCCGCTGGTGACGCTGGTGAAGCTAGATCGATATGCATCCTCTCTTCGGCACTGCCGCTGGCGTACGCTGGAAGCGCTACGCTACGCTACGCTGCCGCAAAGTATAAACGCAGCCTAATAAATGGTCGTGCGCTCTATCTTCGAATAAAAGAAAACTCACTTTGAAGTTTCGCTCGGAGAGTCGCAATACTCTTCGTCCGGCCCGAAAGTTTTGAAAGCAATCACAGCTGTCGGATAGCGGTCCATTCGGTGCTTTGGGTTCCAGTTTTAAAGAAGGGTATGCACTCAAAAACAACAGGTCCACTCGTTCGTCATCATCGGAAGACTAATGGTCCTGGTTCTTCTTTTGCCGTTTTTTTCCTCCGCTTTTTTTTGTTTTCCTAGGTTCTTCAAGAAGACTCCCGGTAATATGATTTTCTGTGTGGCCGCAACTGTTTTATGCTTTTTATGTTGAACTTTCTTTGAAAAACGTTGAATTGAAATGAAAATGGTATATCAAAGGCGAGCGTAAACTCTTTATTTCATTGAGGTGTTCATTATTGCTCATATACATATACTGTAATTCAGATCCTGCTTTTGAACTCGTTCTTTGCTATCGTCTCGAGATGAACCTGAACAGAGCGGGTATCATCGATGACAGACTTCGAACATCCACAGCAAAATGTTGTACCATGAACCCTGCAAACGACGTGGCGCTCACTAGAGCGCAGCCAAGGCTGCCTTGTATCAACAATGATGCCATTCTGAGCTCGCTACAATTTGTGGGAAATCAACCCTGGCTGCGCTCCAAGTGACGCTCCCGCCACATGCCCTAGCGTTTGCAGCGATCAAGGCTGTATTCCACGATACAGCCTAACCTCGTCTGGCCCGTCAGCTATCCGTAACGATCGAGCGGCTATGAAAAAGCTTGAAAGTGGTGTGTCTATGGTAAGTCCTAGTCCGCCAAGCATCTGAATCGCTCGATCTACAACTCGCTGTGCCATATTCGGAGCGACCACCTTGATCATAGCGATTTCGGATTGTGCTTCCTAAACAGCACACACTCAAACCGTACCTCGCAAGAGTATCCCGCAAGGGAGTGAAATGGAATACATGGACCAACTAGACGAGATTTTATGCTACAAGAAAAATGAGAAAATTAGCCGAATGCGAGAAAAATGTCTTCATTTTGATCAACCATCAAGCTACCTATGAACATACCTTAGCACCCCTCGTGTCAATCATTTGGGCAGCTTTGAGGACAAGTAGGCGCGCCTGCTCGACCTCGCACCGGGACAAAGCAATGTCTTTACGAATCGAATCAAATTCTTTCAATCGTCGTCCAAATGCTACTCGATAGGATGTCTGAAACAGAAGTCACTAATCGGCAGCACTGCTCTACGTAAAAGCTCGGCATTCGTGTTGCCTTTAATGGTTTTACCGTGGCAGCAATTTTGCAAAGTGACCGTTTCTCAGAAGGTAGAAGAAGGCTTCTATGTAGTAGCGACGCTCCCAAACCCACTAGTATTTCTTAGCTAGTTGTCCTGATACACTGTGACGCGGCCGTTTACTCATTTAGAACTATCCTTAAGTGTTAATGCCGCGCACGTGACGCTTCTTATAAGGCCATTTTCGCGTCCAACGTAGAATTCCTGTACTATACTGTTAAGTCGAGTACCTCACGATAAGTGCTGCCAAATGATTCCGTTGGTGGTAGGGATAGCGTCAAACGGAGGGATCAGAGGTACATTTAACAACTATGAATTGGTTAGACATCGCTCATTGAAGCAAAATCTCAAAGGACGATGCGTGCTACGCAATGGTCCTGCCCCGCTCCCTCCCCCGTGGGCGCGTCACATTGTTCAAGGGCTGTTTGAAGTACCACATCAAATTACCGCAGCATATTCTAATTGACGAAAGGATATCTAAGAAAACACGAATACATAAATAGTTCTGGTAAGGAGGGCAAACGCGCGTGTGGATTACTATTTTCCTATCAGAACGGAAAGAAAAGCGAGGAGTTATGGACGAAGTTTCAACTGACCCGCTCTTTCATGATGTCTATGGCACGTTCGGCATGTCCTATAAGCCTCATTGCGTGGTGAATTCGTCCAGGCCCTAATCGTCCCTGAGCGATTTCGAATCCTCGGCCTTCACCCAGGATCATGTTTTCAACAGGAACGCGGACATTTGTGAAGGTGATCTCGCAGTGTCCAGCTGAAACAGACTACTCGATGTTTCGAGAGTTTCCTTAGGCTTTAGCTGACGGCAAAGCAAAATACAAAACGTGCCTCTTCCTATATTACGCAGTTCACAACTCACATGGAGCGTCATCGGCGCCGAGAACATGAAGATTCCTAACAACCTCAACACCAGGAGTGTTCATTGGAACTAGTACCATTGACTGCTGAGTAAATCGACTGGCCTGAAAGCAAGTTTTACAATTGCATAGTTCCTTTATGTACAGCACAGAGGTTCATCGATCCCGAAAGAACAAGCTGAAAGAACGCCTATAGACAAGAGGATGTGACTCAAGGTACTAAAGCTCGCAATATGAAGCATTTTCAGCAGTTTCCTTGCTGATAAACCTCATACAGTCTGAACCTCCAGAAACTTCATGTGCACCTTTTTTCTAGTTGGAACAGCCAACATTTTTTACATTTTCTCCAACTTGCTCGCACTCCTCCTGTGGTAGTAGAATGTTCAATTCGGCGACGTGGGGGGATATGTGCACTTTTGCCTCTTCCCATGCCATCAATTGGAGACCTGGTAAATCTTGTGAAACCAAAAATGGTTGTGGAGACCACTTTTCAATTCTTGCAAAGAGTACACAGTGTCAAATCTTGTGGAGAGTGCCTGTCAAATCTTCTTGAGGGCATATGGCACGATAATTTGGTTCTCGCTCTGAAATGCTAGCAGGGTGCTATATAGTGGGAAAGGGCGAAAAACGAAGTGAAACGGTCAAAAACCTGCGAAGAAAAGCCGTTCTTCATGACTCAGAAAGCAATTTCAGACGAGTTCCCTGCAGGGATCGTGCCAATAACCGCAACGGTAGAGACCGTTGCACGTTCATACTCACACCCATGCAGCACCGCTGTCGTTTCGTATCGCTCCCTTCGCTGCATATTTTACTTCGCAGATGAAGTGATATAAACACGAGGTACGGTTGTCTATTAGTGGGCGAGCGGGCGCGGTGGGCGTCCGGGGCGTATGTTGCATATGTTGCAGCTTGATAGGGCGCTATGAGGGTATCTTCCTTGGAAAAGGCGCCACGCAACTCCTGTTTAGGGGCGCCGAAATCTGTCTTGCCAATCGTATGAATCCTGCTCGTCTTAGGGATTCATCGTGCCAACTGCATTTAAGTAATGAAATACCATACAAATGCTGGCACATCAATTGCAGTGCTGGCCTGACGAGCTTGTTCCTGTGTCACAAAGGTTCACAGGTTTCACAGGGCTAAGACTTGTGAACCGGAAGTATTAGGTTGTCCGGAAAGTTCTCAGCGTTTTGTGTTACTATTTTTTGTACATTCATTGCTGATTAAAAACTCATTCTCCCTTGCGTCTCAGTAGTACATCCTGAAGAGAATTCTTTGCGCTATCTGATGGTATTGCCGTTTCACCATTGCTTGATAAACCCCTTTTCCCAAGACTTTTTGAAGCATGTCAAAAGAGCAACTTCGGACGATATTTTTCTTCGACTAAAATTGGGTCAATCCGCAATCGAGACAGCTCAACAATTAACCAGGTGTGGGGGCCCAATAGTGCTAGAGAAAGCACCGTGCGGCAATGGTTCGACAAATTTCGTTCTGGAGATTTCAGCCTTGAAGATGAACCTCGTAGCGGTCGACCTAAAGCAATACCTGACGAGGATTTGAAGGCGTTTGTGGAGGCTGACCCATCCCAAACAGTTCGAGAGATTGCAGAAAAGCTAGGCGTTGGCAAATCCACTGTTGCGGATGGTCTGAAACGCATTGGGAAGGTGAAAAAGCTCTAAGTGGGTGCCCCACAAGTAAGTGGCACGTCTCGAGGTTTCCTCTTCACTGCGCAACAGAAGCGATCCGTTCTTGGACCGAATTGTCAACGGTGATGAAAAGTGGATCATGTACAGTCCTCATCATTGCGGACCGGTGGGGCGTGTCAGCCAGTATGAGTGTGCACACTGTTGAAGCCGTTCTCAGCCTTTTTGTTGAAACGCGTATGCGACAAAAAGAAAACGAGTAATACGGAGGATATAATACAGTCATATCATTTGCTCGCTTTAAATACTGGTGGAGAGCGGGTTTGGCACCGCGCCAAACGCAGCCGCACTGAACCGCCCCGACGTACGTAATGATGAGGACTGTATGATAACAGGAGACGTTACGGACAGTAGTTGGACGCCGACGAACCACCGAGGCAATTTCCAAAGCCGAATCTTCACCAAAAAAGATTATGGTCACAGTGTGGTGGTCATCGGCTGGTGTGATCCACTATAACTTTTTATCACCAGGCCAAACCATCACAGCAGAACCCTACTGTGAAGAAATCGACGAAATGTACCGAAAATTTTGTCAGCTGCAGCCAAGCACTTGTCAAAGAAAGGGTCCGATTCTGCATGACAACGCCCGCCCACACGTTTCACAAATCACTATCCATAAATTGAACGAATTGGGGGTTGAAGTTCTACCTCACCCGCCATATTCTCCAGACCTTTCACCAATCACCTTTTCAAACATTTTCAGAACTTCCTTGCTGGAAAATACTTCATCAATCAGGACCAGGCAAAAAAGGCCTACATGGACTTCGTGGATTCTCTACCACCCAGTTTTTTCTTTGATGGGATTTATCGAATGGTGTCACATTGGCAAAAGTGTGCTGATTCGAACGGTGCCTATTTCGATTAAATCCGATGAGTATTAAGAAAGTTATGATCGTTTGAAGTGAAACACTCAAAACGCTGAGAACTTTCCGGACAACCTAATAGTATAGCAGTGGACGTGCAAAATGCCCGTCGCTGAAGTGCGCCGAAGCGTCAAATATGAGCTGCA